CTGCCCACCCTGACCTTCTACAAGCACAACTTCCAGTTCCATGTTTTTTTATTTTTATTTTTTAAAAGATTTTATTTATTTGATGGAGACACAGCAAGAGAAGGAACACAAGCAGGGGGAGTGGGAGAGGGAGAAGCAGACTCCCTGTGGAGCAGGGAGCCCAATGTGGGGCTCAATCCCAGGACCCTGGTATCATGACCTGAGCCGAAGGCAGACACTGAACGACTGAGCCACCCAGGCGCCCCTCCTTCCATGCTTTTAAATTTGAGCTATATTCTCTGTGTAGGGTGAGTGGCCTATCCCTCTACTTAAGTCCAGTGATGGGATAGAGAAGAATATTATGATGGAATGTTTACAGAGCTTTTAGGTGCATGCCCAGGATAGCACTTTTGGGACCCATTAGGATTTGTAATGGTATCTAGGGTAATGCTTTATCCAAAATCTGAGGTTCCAATCCAAACTCCTTTGCTTAAGTAGGGATGCTTTCTCTGAGCATCGAGTTCAAGTGGGGCCAAAAATACATCACCCCCTGGCTACCACCATCCACTCTGGCTCACCAGAGGAGGTAAAGCATAGGAAAACATGTTCTCAATTGAAAAGAGCTTCACTCATCAAACAGGCTATTAACAGGGTTTCTTGGGTGGTTCAGTTGGTTGAGTGGCTGCCTTCGGTTCGGTTGTGATTCCAGGGTCCCGGGATTCAGCCCTGCGTCCCAGGATCAATCGAGCCCCGCTTCCTTTGCCTCCCTGCTCAGCAGGATGTCTGCTTCTCCCTCTGCCCCGCCCTCTGCTTGTGCTCTTTCAAATAAATACATAAAATCACAAAACACACACACACACACACACACACAAACAGGGTGTTAACAGAGGTTGAGTGCTGAGTGCTGGGAACTAAGCTGTGTGCTGAGGCTGTAAGTAGGTGGTGGCTGAGGCGGACCCCCTTCTAAGCTGGGTGCTCACCTATAACCCTGGCTATCTTTTATTAGGTACCTATGGTTTACTTGCCATTGGCTTTCCCCTGAGATCTTATTTAACTTAATCTTCAAGTCAACCCCATTGAGGGATGATGGGGAAACTGAAACTTCCAGAAGGGAGTCACTGGTCCAAAGGTATATGCTAATGAGAGGGAGCACAGCAATTCAAACTTTGGAAGTCTTCTCTGGGGAGTGGGGGCAGAAGGCAACAGCTGATTTGGCCAGAATGTCAACTACCTTGTGTAAATTATACATGTTCATCCACTTTTCATTTATTCAACAAGTATTTATTGAACACCCATGTTGAGCCTGGGATAGGTGCCCCGTAAGATTTAGTTTTCCCAGTATGGTTTCTGCAGTCCAGAAGCTTATAAATCCTTCCTACCTTACAAATCCTATCAAGCCAACCTATCTACTTTCCTTCCTTTCTTCCCTCCTGCCCTTCATCCTTCCACGCACCCCTCCATCCAAGGCTTTGTTCCAAAAAGGCATTCAGGAGGCTGAAAGAACAGTTTCCGAGGCTTTAAGGTCAGGCGGACATTGGTCTGATTCTGTCACTAAGGAGACAGACAGGTGACCTTAGCTGAGTTACCTCACCTCTTGGAGCCTGTTCCTCTTCTGGAAAATGGGTGGCTAAGGAGAATGATAGGATATGCACAGAAAGCACCCGGACCTGCGTCTGGCCCGGATGGTGACGACGGCACACACTAAGGATCTTATCTCCTTCAATCCTCACAGCAATCACTTCAGTGAGGAGGAAACTCAGGTAACAAGGAAGAAACCTGCTTGTCCAAGGTCTCAGGCAGTTGACTGCAGAGTTGATATCCTTTAGTAATTTGTCAATACTCCAGGAGCCAAGTCCGTCTGGGGTGGATTAGGTGACCCCATTTGACAGGCAGTAATGGGATAAAGCATCTGAAGCAAGTATCATGGGATGAGTGCTCGATAAATGATAGTAATTTGAATGAAGGCAAGATTAGAGCGGATTCCTGAGCTCCCTGCTAGGAGCCTGCGAGTTGGGTAGCCCCCGTTCTCCATTCATGCACTTCACAGGGAAGCTCTGAGCAAGGACTCTGAATCTTTACTAGCTCTATCTCCGCTTTTGCTCCGGGAAGAATGGGGACACGGGACCACCTAGTTAATGGGCATTAAAACTGGGGTTTTTGTAGGGGTGCCTGGTGGGCTCAGTCAGTAGGGTGTGTGACCCTTGATCTTGGGGTCATGAGTTCAAGCCCCACGTTGGCTGTAGAGATTACTTTAAAAAGGTAAAAAATAAAAATATTAAAAACAAAACAAAACTGGGGTTTTGCATAGCATTTTGAATTACAAAGCAACGCAAGATCAGTACAGAAACTTGGTAGGGGAGAGGGAATAGGGAAAAAATTTAAGTTCTGTCATTTTTGCACCTACAGAGAAGTTACATTTGGGAATTTGCCCTTTCAATATTTTTATGCAGGTCAAGAGATTTTCATTAAGTTCTGGATAACCATGAAGTCTTAATGTGTTAGGAAAAAACAGGACCGTTAGCACCGTGTCCAGTAGCCCAAGTCCTGTACCGTGCAATGGCAGTGTGATCGTGTGGTACCCGACCTTCGCAGACAAACAAAACAGCCCTTGCTCTTAGCACGTACTTAACTCGGCAGTCCTAACCTTCATGCCTCCCTAACATGCCAAGAGTTTAACACTCTTTTGAAGATAATCCTGGAAAGGAGGAGGAGGAGGGATGAAGGACCATGACAGCTTCCAGAGGGGGCAGATCATGTGTTGAGAAGAGGAACATTTCTTCTCCGGAAGTAATCCAGAAAAGGAAAACTAGATGATTTGATATGCAACTCCCCCCTTACAGTGATTCATTAATCTCGTCTCAGAGGGAGGGAAACTGAGACCCTGAGAGAGATTTACCTAGTCATACAGCTAGGAAGTGGTCAGGCAGAACTTGAGCCTAGCACGATCCCTGACTTCATCTACTCTACAAGAATGGAGGCAGGAAGATGTGGGTTCAGATCTCAACTCTTTTACTTACTAGCTTTTCACTTCTGAGATGTCATTTAACCCCTGAGTCAGTTTCTTCATCTGTAACATGAGGGAACAGCTTCCTCATGGAGTTTACACGAATATTAAATGAGAAAAAAAGGTCCTTCCTAACAACGATGGAGCGCTACATGCCAGGCGCTGCCCAGTGCACCTCACATGAACCGTCTCATTTCATCTTCACATGACCCTCACTCTACAGCTGAGGGAACGGGAGGCTCAGAAAGTCTAAGTCATTTATTCAACATGACATGGTTGGGCCTGGATGTGAACCCGGATCTGTCAGACTCAGAGCAATACTACCAGCTAACATAGACAACTCTCAGCACGGTGCTTCCCACATACAAAGGGCAAAATAACAGCTACCATTATTTACTGTTGCTCTCATGAATATATAATTATTATGTCACATGTGATCAGCTGGTCTCTGTTTTCACCCTCCTCAGCCGAAAAAGAACAAGAATTGGGCCGATCCAAAGAAGGGAAGAGATGGCAGCCCAGCCTAGGCCTGGGCCATGCCCATGCTACACCGGAGGATGAAAGGGGTGGGTGCAAAGCTGGGGTAGTGTCTCTCTCAAACCCTGGCATCTCTCATTCGTTTAATGAAGGGCTGGAACAGCCCGTACCTCACATCTGGGAGGCAGAGCTCCTGCTGAGGGGTCTGGCAACCTTGTAAATAGTCTCTTGGTGTCCCTGTCTACCTATCCTAGACCACTAGTCCCTCCGTCCCATCCAGGGTGCCCTCCCGTGTTTGCAGACCTGGGGCCCCACTGCTCCATGATTTGGGCCTCTGCTGATCTCGGCAGATGGGTGCGGGTGATTAAAGAGGCAAAACCCGGAAGTAGAGAGAGGACCCATTTAAAAAAGTCCAGCGAGCACAGACACGCCGCCTGGAATCCCAGCCTCCATCTGAGCCCAGCCAACATGAGTCACCTCCACAGCCCTTTCCCTGTGAGTTGCAACACAGCTGACAGAAACTCCCAGCCTCTCAGGAGGCGGGCAGACAAGTGTGCCGTCCTTTGGGCTGCAGTGAGCCTTGCAGTTGCTGCCGGCACCCAGTGGCTCTCCTGCCACCAGTAACATCTGTGAAGTGGTTGGACACCAGGCTCTGCTCTTGGATCAAATCCCAGCTCTAGCTCTACCACTTCTAAGCTCTGCGGCTTGAGTGACGCACTTAATCACTCTGTACCTCAGTCTCCTCAGCTCTAAAACAGGGATCACCAAAGTGCCCGCCTCACAGGGTCGCTGGAAGCCTGACGTGAGACGAGGCGTGTGAAGGCGTGGCACGATGCCGGATACCCGGTGTACTGAGCACCAGCTGCCTGCCCGACACTAGCAGGCACTGCAGATTCACCAGTGAGCGAGGCAGACAAGGTCTTTACTCTTACGGCGTTCACATTCCGCAAGAAGGGGAGACAGACAGACAATTAGAAAAATATCAGAAAGTTGTAAGAGCTTGGCAGAGAACCCAGTAAAGTGGTGTGATACAGTGACTGAATGTTCACTTTAACAAGGGCAGCTGCGAAGGCCTGCTCTGAGCTGGTGGCTTTATTAGCAATTACTGTTACTCTTTACTGTTACTTGTCAGGGCCCCCTTGGCTGCCACACACACAGCCTCCGGTGAGAAGCCAACCTCTGACAGTTCTCAAACCTGGTACCCCTTCTCCATAGGCCTGACGTCCCCATGAGAGAGCTCTCCTGTGGATTCTGACTTTACCCTGAAAACCTCCATCATATTGGCAGGAGTAGCTGAAACCCCGCCCTTCCCTGAGAGAGAAAGGAGTGGGCCAAGGTGAGGCTCCCAGGAAGACAGAGCAAAGAGATAATTTGTTAAAAGGGAAGAGGGGGTGGGCAGAGAACAGAAAGAGAGCGGGGAAAAAAAACAGATACCAAGATCTCTGGCTTAGATTTAATTTCAAATTAATCCTGGTGGAAGCTCTAAAAATAGCTCTAGCATTCTCCTACTTGTGTTTGTGGATCTTTTGGGTTTACCAACCTTGTTCTTTACAGGGGCAGCTCACAGCAATTATTCCACAATTTCTTAGTCTGCCAGGCATCTGATTCTCCTGTGTTTCCAATGAGGAAGAGAGCACTTACTAGAAGGTGAAATGACCAGCTAGCGAAGGCATCAGAGGCGGCCGACTTCAACCCTTCCATCCCTTCTGTGTTGGCCAGAGGCACTGGTTTGCTCATATCTCATTCAGATCTGCATCACACCAAATAAAAGGTTGCCTCCCACCCTATCCCCGGCCGCCCCTCTGCCACCAACACGCACACACACACCAGATTGTAGACTCCTCCAGAACAGTGACCCCTGACTTCTTGGCCTCTGTCTCCTCAGAACCCACAGTAAGGCCTGGGACCCAACAGGTGCTCAATAAGTGTCTGCTGAATTGAGGCCACTGAGAGCCAGTCAGTGGAGATGACTGAAGGGACAGCCAGACCTGGAGATGACTGAAGATTCAGATCTGGGCTCTGAGACTCACTAGCTTTGCCCTTGGGCAAGTCAATTTACCTCTCCAGCCTCCGTTTCCTCATCTGTAAAGTGTGTTGGGAAGGAAGGGGTGCAATATCTACCACAGCAGGTTACTGCGAGACTCAAAGAACTCACTTGAATAACTGTAAAACATTATTCAGAAAGAAGCTATTATTATCCTAAGGGGAAAGCTCTGAAAAAAAGGACGGAGGCTCACACAGAGACAACTCTCTCCCCTGCCAGCGGGAAGGGTGAATCTGCACTCTCCTTTGAGAATTCCCCAGTGGCTGTGAAGTATTTGATGGTGGGCAGAAGAAGGGGCAACGGAATTGGGGCGGGGTGGGGGGGGGGGGATGTTCCTGAGTATCCGGGATACTAACTAGAAACAGGAATCAAGATTTCCTTTAGCCAAGTATCTGTCTCTGTACTTTTCCTCTAGCTATCTTCTCTCCAACACTTTTTGCTGCCCTCCCTCCCTCATCTCCACCTCCCACCCCCTCACCTAGGAAGGAACTGGCCAGCTCCACCCAGCGGCCCCCTTAGCTCCGCCCCCAACGCGGCAGGCCAAGAGTTAACAGCTGCACCTGTTGAGGCAAACCTGCTCTCGCCGGCACCTGTACCCACAGCCAATCAGCACCAGTGCTGCCGGGAACCTACCTGTCAGCAAAATCCCGACACTCGAACCTCAACATAAATCAAACACTTCCCTGGGCAGGGAATGTCTGTGTCAGGCAAGAATTAGAGACAAGCGGTGGGTCAGCAGAGCCTCGGTGCTGGTGTGCGTCTTGGTCTTGGAGCCTGGGAGCCTGGGAGCCTGGGAGCCTGGGAGCAAGAAGATGTCGAATGAACTTGAGTGAGTAAACACTGGTGGATGCCTGGCGCTCTCCGAGCGTGGAGGCTCGATGGGGTTTCCAGAAGGGGGAAGCGCAGGGAGGCCAGCGCCAGGATTCACAGAGCAATTTGTAAGGGTAAATGAATGGGCTGACGATTTCACTTTGGCGTGTTGAGGCAAGCCCTATCTCAAGCTAGAGTTGAATGTTCCCCTGGGAAAATAGGGTTTTTTTTGTTTTTTTGTTTTTTTTCTCTGACTGCTGAGCAGTTTCGAGCCAGGTGGGGAAACACGGGACTGAAACTGTGAAGGCTTTCGGCACCACTTTCTGATACCGTGAAGGGACTTGGAAATCGGAGACAGCCCCAATTCCATCTAGGCTTTTCTATCTTCTTGCCAAAAGGAACTTCTTTGAGGTAGTTCTAAGAGCTGTCTTAGGCACAGAGTTGGGTTTCTCTAAAGGGACTTGTTTGTTGAGTCCCAAGTGGGAAGGTTACAGAGTGGTGTTTAAACATATGCCCTCTGAAGTCAGCCTGACCTAAGTTCAAATCCAGACTCTGCTCCTTATGGGGCATGTAATCTTGGACAAGTCATTCAACTTACCGGAGCTTCATTTTCCTCATCCAGAAATGGGTACAAGAATGCTTTGTAGGAATCCTGAGAGAGTTAAGTGTGATAAAAGCTGTAAAGTGCTAGGCACAGAGCCAAGGTCTGAAGATGCATTAATAAAATGCAGTTGATTTTATTCAGAGGCAGGTCTAAGGCTGAAGAAGCTGAGATGTGGTTTTCAGTGAGGTCGTCTCTATTGCCTGGCAAGATGCAGGTGACTTCCTGCCCGTATCTGGGATTTAGACTCCCCACTGGCTGACGTTGACCTTCACCACGGGCCCCCTACTTCGGGTCCAGATCTCAGAGAAGGTGGGATAAGGCTGGGATTCGGGGCTGCTTTAGCTTGGGCTCAGGGAGCTGGCAGAAGCCAAGCTTCTAAAACATATACTCTCCTCCTCTTGACATGCTCAGAGGTGAGTGAGCGGAGACAAGGATTGAACAATCTTTTTTTCTAGCTACCTCTCAATAGATTGTTTTAAGAACGTGAGACCAGAGGGGGCAGTTGGTGGGTCCTAACTACAGACAGTGTTCCATGATACCAGCTAGCTCTTGAGTTCTCCTAGGTTAGCCAACTATGTTCGTAGTACAATCACTGGGCATCAGATTTCTCTTGAACAAATTCCCTGGGGTTGACAATGTGTTGACAACTGGAATAAGAGCAGGGGCACTGGAGGCACCATGTGGGTTCAAGTCCTGGCTCTGCCACTAATGAGCTGTGTGACCTTGGGCAAGTCACTTCACCTGAGTCTCAAGTTTCCTCACTTGTAGGTTGTGGGCCATAGTGGTACCCACCTCATGGAGTTGTTGGGGGATCTGGACCACTTAGTTTAAAGCCTGGTAAGGAGCGAGCTAATAATACCCTTGTTACTTCATACAGAAATAACCAGTGAGTATTTCTGAACCTCTTGCTATTTTTCCACACTCTGAAAAGAGACAAAAATCTTAGGCTGTGTCTTCATCCCACTTGGATCTGCCGGCAATACTGCAGAGGCTACAGACAGAATCTATTCATTGGTGCCCCTCAGGGGGTGGGCGTCCTGAAGCTGGGTTACTCCAAAAGAAAGTTTCCTGATTTTCTCCTCCTTAATGATTTGGGTTTTGAAGTCAGATCCGCTGACAGTTGAGGCTTCTCCGTTTGGGGTGGGGTGAGGGGAACTGTGCCTGCAGAGTAATTGCAGACAGGCTCTGAAGCGACCATTTGAGATTACAATGACAGAGCCTCAGTGCCTGGGGGCTCAGCTACCCTTACTGAGAAGTGGGGGTTGGGGGGGATCAAGTGCTTGGCTTGCAAGTTTTGAGCTGTTGCGGTTGGTGCTGCTGTGGCCCCTGGCTTGGCTGCCGGATTCCCCCCAACAGTGGCTGCCGAGGGCAGAGGGCTGGTCCTAGCGTCCATCTTGAGCTCCGACAGAATGACAAACTCTTGTTAGGCCTTGGTGTGGTGGGAAAGGCCGAGCTTGCATGGGGCTAAATTCTGCCACCGAGCAACCGCAGAGGGTCCTGGTGAATTTGTTTCTCCTCCCTGACCCTCGGTTTCCTCCTCTGTCCAACAGGGGCCATACACACCTACCTGGCAGGGGAAACAATGCGCTCCCACATGTGGGCCACCCGGCCCCGGGGCTGGAGCTCCTTAACCGCGTGCCCGATCCCTAGGCCTGGGGAGGAAGGCGGCCCTTCGAAGGCCGGGTCCTGGGGTGCACGGCGGCGGCGGCGTCAGATCCCAGCTCGAGGCAGCTGGCGGGTGGAGCGCTCCCGCCTTTCATGTGGTCGGGCCCAGCGCTTGCCGGGTGCGTCTACCAGCCTCCGGGCCAACGCAGCCGCCTGGGGTGCCGCCAGCCAGCGCCGCCGCCTGCCCCCAGGCTAGAGCCGCCCGCAAGGGATCCTGGGGAGGCTCCGGAAGTCGCTCACTGCCTGTGGCTCTCTCGCGGGAAAACAGCCCGCGCCTGCGCACTGCCCGCCAGGGCCCCGCGTGCGGGGGAGGGGGCAACACGCTGGCACGCCGGGGTCTCAGGCCGGTTGCTGTGGGTCTTCCCGGCCACTCTGGAGTTACAAGGAGAGTGGTGCTCCGGGGCCCACTGTGTGCCAGGCGCCCCTGCACTGGCTCACTCCTCCGGGGAGGAAATGAGGAGCCAGGAGATGAAGTGATCGGCACACAGTAGGTCTATCGAGTGGAAGACAGAGAAGTGAGCGAGGCGCACCAGGATTCCCCTCTACAGTCTTGCTCAGTCTGCAGACTGGGAGCCCACCCGCCGCCTGGAATCTCCCTCCGCAAAGCCTTGGAGAGACAGGACTGAGGGTGGGAGGGGGACAAAGAACGTCCCAGTGGGTGACCACAGGCCTCTGTCTCCACTCCATGTGATCTCCAGGCGCGCCAGGCTCCAGACTCCCTGGAGCGCTGAAAGAGTTAACCAGGAACGCCTCCCCGCTGCGGTTTTGTGGTCGAAACCATGATTGCCAGGAGCAAATTTTTGTCGTGCACAAGGTGTGTTATTAAAAGTCGGAGTTACGCTGCTGGTGAATGAAAAGTTAAAAGCCCTCATTAAGCTCCGCCTGTAAAATAGGCGGACTAGAGCTGAGACAACCCTAACGGCGGAGGCTTAGGGTGCAAGGACACTCCTGAGGTTCCTGCTGCTCGGGCACAGTGAGGCCCGGTGAGGTGCCTGGAGCCACAGAGGGCTTCACGGGAGTCCACACAGAAGAAGGCCAGCGGGGGGAAGGGCCACAGGGCTGAAACACAAATAGCATATGCTGGAAGCTTTCCCTTTGGTTGGAAAAAAAATAATAATAGCCAAGCACTGATTGAGAGCTGACTCCACAGCAGACTCAGTGACCAGTGCTTGATAAATACATTATGTCCTTTAACCTTCTGGACGACTCAATGAGGATGGGAGTATAAATTCAGTTTTGCCAAGGAGGGATCTGAGACTTGCTCCAGGCTTGCTCAAGATCTCAAGGAAGACCTGGGATCTTAACTAGGTCTTAACCGAGGGGCTAAAATGATGCTCCACACCAATATGTCACCCTGCCTCCTATCTGTACAGATACCGAAAAAGGAGGAGACATGCCAAACTTCTAACAGTGGTTATTTCTTAGTGGAGGAAAGCAGGTGAATCTAGCTCTGCTTCCAATTTTCTCTCCGTTTTGCATTTTATATATTGTGTTTTACAAACCTATGTTACCTTTGAAATGGGGAGGGTGAGGAGAGGGAGTCATTATTTTTCAAAGGGAGAATTATTGGTTCACCTACAAATGGTGTTCTCGAAATATGGTTCCTGGACCAACATCATCATCTTCACCACCTGGGAACTTGTTAGAAATGCAAATTCTCAGCCTCACCCTAGACCCACTGAATCAGAAATTCTGGGGGTGGGGCTCAGCAATATATGTTTTAACAGGCCCTCCAGGCGATTCTGTTGCATGTTCAAGTTTAAGAACCATTGGCCTAGAAGACCTGGCAGAGGATTGGGAGGCAGGAGGTTCCCAGATCCTCTTCTGACCTGCCACGTAGTCCCTGGATCAGCAGGCTGAGAGTTTTGCTGCGGGGGTCACACTATGTTTGAGTCTAGCTCTGCCACATGTGGACCAGATGACTTTTGGATGAGCTCCTTAACCTCTCTAGGTGTCAGTTGCTGTGTGTAAATTGGTGCTAACACCCCCCCCCCACACACACATACATACCCCTCACAGGGCAAGTATGAGAATGAAAAGGCACAGGGCCTGATGCTTTTATTTATTTATTTTTAAAGATTTTATTTATTTGAGACAGCGAGAGAGAGAACGGGGTTGGGGTGGGGAAGGACAGAGGGAGAGGGAGAAGCAGAGTCCCCACTGAGCAAGGAGCCTGACGTGGGCTTCTATCCCAGGACTCTGAGATCATCCCAGGACCCTGAGATCATGACCTGAGCTGAAGGCAGATGCTTAACCCGCTGAGCCACCCAGCCACTTTTAAATAACAGTCCTTTTCCTTCTTCCTCTGTCTTCCTTCCCCTCTCAGGAGCTCAGCATTTGCAAAACGGAGCGAAATAATCCTGGCTGGCTGCCTCCCTCCAATCCTTTCATCTTCTAAAAAGTCAGAGCAACTGACCTAGTAAATGTCCTAAAGGGAAATTATCTCACCAGTATTTGGTGTTATTTCCCTGGTGGGTGGAGCACCTGGGCGGCAAGAATTGGAAACTCTTGAGGGCAGGGACAGCGTGGTATTTACGTTTGTGTCCTAATACCCAGCACAGGGCCTATTATAGAGTAACCCTCAGTGAATGTTTGTTGAATGAATCAGTGAATGAATGAATGAAGGGATGTGGCACCCCGGGTTTACAGGTGGATTTCAATTTCTTTCACATCTCAGTTGAAAGAGGAAAAAGAAAGCCCTGGAAAA